CTCCGCGCGCGGCGCCGACCCCGCCCCCGCGCCTCCCTTGCGCCGCCGCCGCCGCCGGGCCGCCGCCGCCTCGCAGAAGCCGCGGGAAAGTGCGCGCCGCTGATTGGCTGCCGCGCTCGCGGGGCTGCGGCCGGGCTTTTCAAATCCGCGCGGGGCGGGGCGGGGCGGTGGTGGTGGGTCCGTGGCGCGGGCGTGGGCCGGAGGCTGGGAGTCGGGGGCGCAGGCCGGGGCCGGTGATCGAAGGCACGGGCCGGGGCCGGGGGCGCGGGACCCCGCGAGCCGCCTCAGACCGGCGCCGGGCGCGCGCCCTGCTCCCGCTACTCGGCCGGGCGCGCGCCAGGCGGCGGCTCAACCGAAAGCCCGGAGCCTGGAGCCAGAGTCCGGAGCGCGCGCGCGTGGTGACGTCACGGCCGCGCGCCCAATCGCCGCCGGCGAGGCCGCCCCGCGCGATCGCGGCCCCAGCCCGGGCCGCGCGGCCCTGGAGCCGGGAAGTGGGAGGCGGCTCCCTGCCGGCCGCCCCGCGGGCCCTGCGCCCGTAGCACCACGCGCAGGGTCAGCCCGCGCTGGCCGCAGGGCCCTCACCCAAGTGGTCACCCACGCCCCTGCCTCGGGGCGGAGAGAAGGCTCCCGGGTCAGGAGGCGCTCTGCGCGGGGCCTGGTCGAGCAGCTGGGATCCGGGAAGGCGGAGGTCAGGTTGAACTGGCCCTGCAGGCGAGGCCCAGCTGGAGCTCGCAGGGGAGCACTGTGGAGGGAGCTCCAGGGACTGCCGAGCAGGGTGCAGAGGTCCCCGCCGTGTCTGTGCTCCTGGAACGCACATTACAAACTTGGCATAGATGGTCACAAACAACGACAGGGAGCGGGGATTGCAGGCCGGAGAGAGACTGGCCGGGGCGGTGCGGGCAGTGGGGGGGGGGGGGCGTCTTCTGCAGAATATCTGCAGGGCGAGGATTCAGCCGTTCCCCTCACCTCCCAGGCTCTGGTTTGGCCTGGATCTGGGAGCAGTGGGGTAACCGTGGACAGAGGCAGGACTCCCAGGCCCTGAAACTGCTGGGGCTTGTGCCATTCTAGTGAGGCTGGGGTGGGGAAGAGGGACAGGGCAGGCCCAAGAGTGCCAGCAGCTGCAAGCTTCAGCTGCTTCCCACCAGAGCAGGGGGTGGCCTAGCGGACGCTAGAGCCAGGGGGAGACCCTCCCCCGTGTCCAGCTGAATGGGATTACAGAATTTTTCACCCTTCCATCCAAGAGCTATATCGTGAGGTCCTACTGTGTGCTGCACCCTTGCAGCATTCTGGGGAGCCTGAGCAACCAGAAGAGACGCCCTTCCCCCATCGTTCACTGCCAGGACTCACCTCTGGCCACCAGGAGCCCCTGGAAGGTGTCTAGCTGGGTGCTGGCCCATCCACATTTGCATTTTGCCATATCTCTTGGCTGTGGGGAGGAGAACAGGTGCCCTCTCTGGGCCCGGGATCCCTCTGGGGCACAAGCCTGAAAACTGTCTACCTCCCCAGTACCTTTAAATCCCTGCAGTGCAAGACAAATACCACCATATCTCATTTGATTTCACAGATTTGGAATTAGGGCTCCTCTTCAAAACCAAAAAAATCTGCATTTAGAATAGTGCAATCAACATGTAAATTTATTCAAAACGTGAAAGTGTGTGTTTGGATTTTCTTGAAGAAAGTTATTTGGAGCAGGCTGATCTTTTCCCGCCTAGGGCAGGCCTCCCTGGGCCCAGCCCTGCTGTCTTGTTGGGTCCTAAGCCCTTTTCATCGAGTCGGCCAGCTGGGCAGCCCCAGTCCCGCACACACTGCGGGCCCCTCCCGTGGAGAGTGGATTTCCGATGATTGGGTCTCCCTCAGTGCATAGGAAAAAGAGGCCCTTACAGGACTGAAGGAGGCCCTGGGCATGTAGATTCCTGGGTGATGAGGAATGTAGATTCCTCATCTGCACGTTTGCGCCCCTTGCAGGTTGGGGAGGGCCATGGGAGTGGAAGCCCCAAGTTCGGTGGGCCCAGAGGGCTGCAGGGCACTCAAAGACGTCAGCAGCTGGGGCTGAACCTTGTTTCCGTCTCTTTGAGGCTCTTATCACTTCTCTAAATGAAACTCTGCACTCAGAGAGGAGAGACTGCAGAAGACCAAGGGACTGGGAGTCTACTCCCGGTATAAAGTAGCGAGCACAGAGGAAAGGCATTTCAGGGGGCAAGGGCAGTCTGCTGGGGTTCAGCTGCCCTCCATCGCAGCTCCCCCCTGCTGCCCCCCACCCAGCCTCTCAGGCCAAGGCTGGACTGGGCAAGGCATTTAGGACCAGGGTATCCCAGGCCTTCCTGCTAGCTCAAGGACCAGCCCGGCAGCCGCAGATCAAGGGGTCAAGCGGAGCTGGGAGTCCCCTGTCCAAAAGGTCTGTAGCCACGCCGCCTCTGGCTGCCTGCCGTCTGTTACCATCCACGGGGCATACGGCTCTAGAAGGCACGGCCCACTCCATGATCTCTGTGTGGCCCAGGCTGGAGCCCACTCTGCCGCCCTGCTCCCCATCGACACAGGTCCTGCAGCTCCTGGCCCAGACCTCCCTGTAAGAGCTGCTGCCAAGGCAAAACCCAGGCCCCTTAGCCAAAGGAGCCCCCGAGCTCCGGCTTGGCCTCCGCATCCCCCACCAGGGCCGGGGTCCCCCAGGGGCCAGGCTCATCGCTGTTTCCATGGGAATGTATGCACTCTGACCCCAGCCTTTCTCCATCCCTGGCCAAATAAAGAGGGCTTCCAAGTGGAAACCAGCAGTCTCAAGCTGCCCCTCCTCCCGTGCCCCAGGTGGCCCCTCTCTCCAAGGGGGGGGGAGGAGAGAGGCTTCCTTCTCAGCCCAGCACAGGCCCAGAGCCAGGCCTAGCAGTGGCAAGGGCCTCCCACCCCCAGACCTTCTCGGCAGCCCCTTCCAAGCCCAGACCGCTCTGTTCCCCAGGCTGGAAACTTGCCTTTCTAAAGGCCCGGCATTGCCTCAGCTCCTGCCCAGCCCAAGGACCACTGCAGTTCACCGGGCCAGCCCACAGGAGCCAGCAGGCTGTAAGGCCCCTTGGGTCACATGGGCCGACCCTCCCCTGAGCAGGGCTCCCTGTCGGGCTGGGAGATAGACCAGGAGACTGAAGCCCTGCTGAGAAGCCCCCCATCTAAGTCCCGGCTGGGAGGCCTGAGCAGTAGGCCTCCCCGCCTTCTCTGCCCACCCCTCTCTCCATCCGCCTTGGGGCTGACCTACAGGAGCCCCTGAGAGGCCTGAGGTGTCTGTCATCAGTCTCGGTGGTCACCTGCAGGAACAAACCACAGCCCAGGACCGTGGTCGGGTCCTGAGGGCAACCTCAGGACCATCTTCCCTACCTCCCCCACCCCCACCAAAGGCTGCTTCCTGGAGACTGCACCCAAGCCAGCCTAGGGCTCACCCCTCCTCAGGATTCGACTTCCTAAACCCTCCTCTAAGCCAGCCTCTCCTCCCCTGTCACTCTGCCCGCCGGCCCCCCTCCCGCCCCCGCCCAGGGCCTTAGTTCAGCTTCTTATTTGGAAATAAGAGGCAGTTTTCGGGGGGCTCCCTGGTGGCACAGTGGTTGAGAATCCGCCTGCCAACACAGGGGACTGTGGGTTCGAGCCCTGGTCCAGGAAGATCCCACATGCCGCAGAGCAACTAATCCCGTGTGCCACAACTACCGAGCCTGCGCTCTAGAGCCCATGTGCCGCAACTACTGAGCCCATGTGCCACAACTACTGGAGCCCGTGCTCCGCAACAAGGGAAGCCACCACAATGGGAAGCCTGCACACCACAACAAAGAGTAGCCCCTGCTCGTCACGACTAGAGAAAGCCCGCATGCAGCAACGAAGACCCAATGCAGCCAACAATAAATAAATAAATAATTTTTTTTTAAAAAAAGAGGCAGTTTTCGACTCACTGATTCCCCACCTGCTTTCTCCCCCTTTAGTTCATTCTCCGCACCCAGCCAGGGGAATTTTTCTAAACCACAAAATTGGCCATGTCACCCACCTGCTTAAAATTCTGCTATGGCTGCCCAGTCCCCCTCACACCAATCCCACTCCTCAGTGAGACTTGCATCCCACTTTCAGGAATGCGGAGGCCATCCAGTTCTGCCTCTCCAGCCCAGCCCTCTCCCCAGAGCTCCTGGCCAATAAAGTTGACTCCTCACTGGATGTGTCCCCTTGGACAGCCACATGGACCCACCCCTGGACAGTTACCAAATTGAACTTCTCCCCTTCTCATCCCCATGCCAGGTCTTAGCGGGGATACTACTTTTTCCAGAAGCCTTCCCTGATCCCCCCCTTAGGCTGGCTGAGTCCCCTGGGGGTACACACAGCCCATGCTCATCTCCAGGTGCCAGGGCTGCCTGGGATGGACTGCCTGGCCTCCGGTCCTGGTTCCCCCTGTGCTGGTACCTGAGGACTGCTGGTAAAGTACCACAGAACAACACAAAGTTGTTCTCTCACAGTTCTGGACGCCAGAAACCTGAAACCAAGGTGAATGCACAGTCACGCTCCCTCCAGAGGCTCTCTGGAAGAATCCCTCCTTGCCTGTCCC